CTTCCTTCCTTCCTTCCTTCTCTCTTCTCTCTTCTCTCTTCTCTCTTCTCTCTTCTCTTCTTTCTCTTGCTCTATTGCCCAGGCTAAAGTGCAGTGGCATGATCTCAGCTAACTGCAACCTCCACCTCCTAGGCTCAAACCGTTCTCATGCCTCAGCCTCCCAAGTGGCTGGGATTTTAGTCATGTGCCACCATGCCTGGCTAATTTTTTTTTTTTTTTTTTTTTTGGAGAGCCGGAGTCTTGCCATTTTGGCCAGGCTGGTCCTAAACTTCTGGCCTCAAGTGATCTGCCCACCTGTGCCTCCCAAAGTTCTGGGATTACATGCATGAGCCACCAAGCCCAGCCATATCCTTTCACCCTGTTTCAGGATTTTATTTCTTCTCTGTTGGCTACATGTAGGCCAGAGGGCCTCCCAGGTAGATTAGAACCTCTAGTCTAGGTGTAGGGCAAAGTCATTATAGGAAAAGGTGACTCAGTCTTTGAGTAGATATGAAAAGCCACTATAATAATTTGTTTAAATACCTAGTCCTGTGTTTGATTTAAGTATCAGCATGCAAATTGGCACTGTCAGGGGGCCTATGTGCGGGCAAGGTAGAGCTGGTCAGGTATTCTCCCAAGACCATGGTGATGATGAGAAGCAGCAGCATTCACAGAGACAACTCACCTTTGATTTGTTCAGATGCTAATGGTATCACTTCTTGCTTTGAAGTGTCTCACGTTCATTTCTTTGTATTCCCTGTGCACAGCCCTAGTGTGGCTTTCTGGGTTCTAGTTCCTCCTTCCCAGGGCTGTGCTGTGTATAGTTGCCAAGATTAATTAAAAACAAAGCAACAACAACAACAAAAACCCTTTTTATGTCATTTCCCAGTAGTCTCATAATAAAGTTTATACTCCTCTGGTTTATTATTGAATGTCCTCACAAATTTTTCTATCCAGGTTCTCTTTCTCCACTAATCTTTATTTCACCCAAAGGATCTATTACTGGCTGTTAACCTATTTTTCATTTTTCCTGCCTCTGTGCTTTTGTTCCTGCTGTTTCTCCCTTTTGGAATTCCTTCGCCCTTCTATTCAGATACAGCTCTTCCATTAAATCTTTTCAGATCAATTCCGCCTCCACTGATCTGACCCTCCTCTGAACTCTGCTTACTTGTCAGCTAAAGTCCATACCAGCCCTCTGGCAATTAATCACATACAGCCTGGTGAATGTATCTTTATTTTGTGTGCTCAATCTTGCTTTTTCATTTTCTGTCTCTCTCTCTCTCTCTCTGCTTCTCTCTACCATTGTGTATGGATGTCTATGTACAGCTAGATAAGAGGTCTATGAAAATAAAAATCTGTCTTATATATCTTTAGAATAGACGACCTAGTCGGTGCTCCATGACATAATTGTTACTTAGGAGTTCTCACTGAGGATCTTGATTTGCATGCCGATGCTCCTGTGCAACTTTCAAATGTCTGGGGATCCCAGCTTTCTCAATACTAGCAGGAACAAGAACAGCATCCCCAAGCACTGAGAGCTAGGAAGATATCTGAAGTGGACTTAAAGGGCTTTCTTTTGAATAACTCAAAACTGTTCTGTAAAGCCAAGGTAGGTAGATTCTAATACTGATCTCCTCCGAGTTTAATGAGTATTCAGAAATCAAGGATTTAGGGAAAATTAAATAAAGTTTGCTCAACGTGCTTTTCCTGCATGCCCACATCTGCCACATGCCTGTTCTCGCCTGTCTATTCTTCCATGGCAGTGAGGCTTTCCCTAGACTTGCTCTTCCTCCAACCTTATCCCCAACCCCATATCCAGAGGGAGCCTAGAGAACTGGGGGGGGCGTAGACATGAAAGGCCCAGTAGTGTTTGTTTGTTTGTTTGTTTGTTTGTTTTGAGACAGAGTCTCCCTCTGTCACCCAGGCTGGAGTGCAATGGTGCGATCTTGGCTCACTGCAACCTCTGCCTCCTGGGTTCAAGTGATTCTCCTGCCTCACCCTCCCGGGTAGTTGGGATTACAGGCATGTGCCACCACACCCGGCTCCAGTAGTGTAGTTTAGTGCTCAAGTCTGGCTGTCTGGAGTTCAGATTTCACCTTGACCCTATGAGCTGTATGTCCTTAAGCAAGTTAACTCTTTAAGTCTGCAGTTTCTTCTTCTGTAAAATGAGGACAATAACAGAACCTACCTCATAGAGTTATACGGAGAATGAAATGGTAGTCCACATAAAATGTTCAGGCTATTGCAAGCATATTATATGATTGAAAATAGTCACTATATGGCATACAGTTTACAAACAATATGCTGAGATTTAAAAAACAAAACCAGACAAACTCTTGTGCTCCAATCACTATGCCTTCAAAACAGTACAGGAATTCTCTATACTCTGTCTTGTTTCTTACACCCATGCTCTTGCATCCTCTCTAATTAGGCCATGGCCCCCTCCATTCCACTACAGCTGCTTTTTTCAAAGTCACCGATGATCTCCATGTTGCTCAGTTTTAAGACTTAATTCTTAGGTCATCTCTCCTGACCTATCAAGCAGAATTGGACACAGCTAATTTCTCCCTTCGTAAGACATTTTCCACATGCAGCTTCCAGAATGCCTCACCCTCCTGGTTTTACTCCTACCTCACTGGCTACTTTCTGGTCCTCTCGTCTTCCTGCTTCTGGCTTAGTCCTGGGACTTTGTCATTATCCATATCCACGCCCCTCATTTATCTCACCCAGCTTCATGGCTTCAACCCCATCTCTCCTCTGACAACTCCGCAATTATCTCCAGTTCACCAGCACTTTCTCCCCTGAGCTCCAGACTTGATGGCAAGCTGCTATTCAATTTCTCCACTCAAGTATCTAATGGGCATCTCAAAGATGTCTAAAACTAAACTCCTATATTCCCTCCCCTCAATCCTGTTCCTCCTGTATTCTTCCACATCTCAGGAACCCTGTCCTAACCTCAGACCCAAAACCTGAGTTACCTTTGACCCTTTTTTCATATCTCATGCACAGTCTGTCAGCAAATCATATTGGCCCTTCCAGCAAAACATCTCCAGAATCTGATCACTTCTAACAACCACTAGGACCACCCTACTTCTAAGCCACCAACATCCGTCACCTGGAATAGTGCAGTAGCCTCCCAACCAGTATCCCTATTTCCACTTGCCCTCAATATGGAAACCAGAATGACCTTTAAAAATATAAGCCATAGTTATCACTCTGGCTCAGAGTCTTCCAGTGGGTTTTCACTCCAGGTAAAAGCCAGAGGCATAACACTGGCCCACCACATGCTTGTTGACCCAGCTCCCGGCAGCTTTTCTGACTTCCTCTCTTACTGATCCCGCCTGGCTTACTCCACCAAGGCCACCCCAGGCCTTGCCTTGGGCCCTTTGTGTTTCTCTTCTGTCCAGAAGGCCCTTCGCCAGATGGCGTCACCACCACTAGGCCTTGGCTCACATGTCATGTCATGAGACTGTCCCTGACCAACTGTTCAACCTGTACCCTCTTTTCCAACGCCAGCATTCCCTAATCCCTTTCCCTACTTTACGTTTTGATGTAGTACTTCTCACCACCTGTCATACTTTTCATTTTGCTTATTTTATTGTTATAGTCTATTATATGTGTTTCCCACCAGAATGTAAACTCCACGAAGGCAGGAGTCTCTGTCTTCTGCCCACTCCTGTATGGAATGGTGCTTCATACATTAAAAATTGAGTGAGTCAAACATTTTCTTGCTGTTCTTGAGAGGGTTCTCTGGACTGGGGTCTACAGCTGGCCTGGATATTCTGCCTTGTGCCCTAGCTTCCTGAGGATGGAGCTGTCTCACTCCCAGGTTTGCGGCCTGCCTTCACTGCCTCTGACATGGCTGTGTCTGTCCCTTTTCCTCAGATGCATACTCTCATTCCTCAAGTGAGAATGGAGGCAAGTCCGAGTCCGTGGCCAACCTGCAGGCCCAGCCCTCCCTGAACTCCATCCATAGTTCCCCGGGTCCCAAGCGCTCCACCAACACCCTTAAGAAGTGGCTGACGAGTCCTGTGCGTCGGCTCAACAGCGGGAAAGCAGATGGAAACATCAAAAAGCAGAAGAAAGTTCGGGATGGTCGGAAGAGCTTTGACCTGGGATCTCCCAAGCCTGGGGATGAGACAACCCCTCAGGGTGACAGCGCTGATGAGGTACTTACATGGGGCCCCAGAGTTGTCCATCAGGAGGGCCTTCTGACATGTCTCCTTCCTCAGGTTTTGTCAACTAGGCCATCTCAAATCTCCACTAGTGTGTTATCTTGAGCCTAAGTGATTTGGATTCATTTTATTCTAAAGACATTGGCCAGTTTGATTTGTGGTCGATTCAGAAACTGACTAGCACCTAAGACATCCAGCAGACAGAAACCATTTGCCAGATTTGGAGATAGGACCTGGGCCTGAGGGGAGTCATTTGGTCATTAGTTCCCTACCTCTATTAAGGACTACATTAAAACCAGCTAGACCTGTTTATATTTAGAATAAAAGAATGAAGATTGTTTCACTTTGGAAACAGGACTATGCTGGAAGATTATAGCTGTTTTCAAGTCTCTTGAGCAGTGCCACACATCAAAAAGAATACGCCATCCAGAGTTACTCCAGATGAACAGATGAAGATTACAATAGGCAGGGTCTCAGCTCAAAGAAAAACTTTAATCAGGAAGTCAGCCAATGATTAAATGGGCCTTCATGAAAACTAATGAATACCCGTACTGGAAGGTTTGAGAGACCGTAGCCAAAGTTAGGCTGGACGAAGCTGAGATTCTGTAACCAAAAGACACTGGATATGTTTTGGTTGGGGAAATGAGATACCTGTTTTATTTGGCACACAATCCTGCTCTAATCACTGATGTAGCTAAGAACTTCTTTGTGATGTGTAACCGGACCCCCTCTTGTTGTTAATTTATGCTACCTGCCATGTCTCCCTCTGGAAATGGCAGCTGAGCCTGGTGGCATTTTTTACAAAAATGTAAAAGTTAGGCTCTCTCCGACTACTTCCAGCTTTTTCTTTTCTTGCTAATCAATAAGATAGATAGTTGCTGGTTTTGCTTCTTTTGGGGTGTGTGTGTGTGTTCCCCACTGGTGCTCACTCTCATTTGAAATAAGCAGGTGTATCCATGTTTCAAAAGAGGAAATTGTGACTGAACAGTTAGGAGTGAGTTGAGGGAGGAACTCTCCTCCTATGTATTATTTTTGTTAATGTCAAGTCCAGAACCATTGGCATGTTTAGCTTGTGACACAGTAACTAATGCTGCTCTTTTGTTCTAGAAGAGCAAGAAAGGTTGGGGTGAAGATGAGCCAGATGAAGAGTCACACACACCCCTCCCACCGCCTATGAAGATTTTTGACAACGACCCTACACAGGATGAAATGGTAGAACTTCTTTCCTTTCTCACTTAAAAGAGCAATGTGCAGGGCGTGATTTTGTTTTTTGTGTGTGATGGGGGTATTCGTACTCTTTCTCCCATGTTATCTCGTCCTCCTCATGAATCCATGCTGTTGTCAATTGTGTCTCTATTTGGTAGGTGTCCCTTCCCCAACCCTGGAGGTCCAGCTTCGTTCTAGGCTGTGGAGGGGGTGTGTGCAGAATTCTCAAAGTGGGAATCTGCCTGGTGTCTTGTCCTGTTGATAAAGGGTAATGGTTCTGTCTTTGGAAGCAGCACATCCTGAAAGGAGCAATTCCAGGTAGTCCCAGTCCACAACCATTTTGTCATACCTGACTGTACAACCACATGTTAGTTGTTTTCCCTGTACTTAACTCTAAACTCTAACTAATGGTAGCTACCAGTCAAGCCCAGTGTTGGTCAAATTTTGCAATGACAGTATGAGAAATGGAGATGCTGCTAAGGGGAAGTTATTGTCAAAGGTGGACAAACCTCATATGCGAAACTGCCTGTCTTTGCTTTGCAAGATTCCCTGGCCCACTGGCATACAGAGGCTCACTGGTATTTTATCGATGCTCCCTGTGTCTCCAGTCACCCGGTGATCATCCCAATTGTTCTGGAGCAGAAGCGTGGGTTAGATGTACTTCCAGGTACTGACCCGAGGCTTGGGGCAGCTTTGTGTTCTCCCTCACTTGCCACTCAGTCTCCTTGCAGCCCTGCTTTCACGTCACTGTGTTTTTCTTGCCTTAAGTGTTGCTGATTCTCTTCGACTCTAGACGTGGAAGTGGCAGTTTCGGGTTTTGACTGTACGTCACTTTCAATTTGCTTTTTTGAGTGCTGTTTTGTTGCAGTGGTGGTAGTGGACGCGGCGGCTTGCCTGCCTGTCGCTCCAGGCTCTCCTGTGCTCTCTAGTGCTCTGTCCTGCAGTGGGACAGCCTCCCTCCAGGAGGTGCCCAGCAAGTGTAAGCAGGAAACAAATCTCTGTAGTACCATCGAGCACACAATTCAAAAAGCACCGTCTGTGGATGTGTCCTTTCTGGTGACATCTCAGTTCTTATTTTAATTCTCTCTGCTTTGCGTTTGAATTGTTAACCCACAGACATTAACTGACGTCTTCCTCTGGAAGGCTGGAAGGACAGAGTCTAGGGACTCTGAGATGTGGCAGCTGCCCCCATGATGTGACTCACGTAGTCGTGGCCCCTCCTAGGTGATGTTGGTGGCCCTGTCTTCAGGGCCAGATCTTTGACTCTGGATCACTGGGAAGAAACATAGTGGGAAGGCCGGTGTTATGCCATCCTGCATTTCTGAGACAGAAGTGCTGGTGCTTCACCTTGAGATGGGAATGAGACCCTGCCTACTTGTAATGTGTTTTATAAACAGCGATCGTGGCCTGGGGAGTAGGGTGCCCATGTCTCACACAGCCCTCTGTGCAAGGGCCCTGCTTGCATAAGGTCACCACCCTCTCTCTCTAATTCCCTCAAACACAGCTTGTTTACAGAAATGGATGTTACATTGTTTCTGGATAATTTTTAACTGAGAATTCTGGCTTAACCTTTATTTGTGTAGCCTTTTCCTTACCCAGAAATGGGGCAGATGGCAACAGTCTCCTTTCAGATACACGAATTCTCCTTATTCTTGCTTGTTTGATTTCTGTGTGTTTTTATCAGTGTTTGGGAGTGGGATGAACTTCAGAGCATCTAGCAAATGGAGTTGGATTTATTAAAACAATTTTTACAACACTGTCAAGGGAATTTTTAAAAGTTCACCATTGTAATATTGTGCACTTGTCTTCTCCATGTTTCCTTCTAATCTTTTTCATATGTGTGTACGTTTTACTTTTACAATTATAATATGCATATGATATGTCCAATGTTTTATTTGCTACCATTTCCTAAAATTGCATTAATTGTTTTCTTCCTAGCTGTAATTTTCATAGCTGGAGAAAACTTTGCTTATTTTCTGTTCCATAATGTGTTTGATCAGCCTGTTGGGGACATCCTAACAGGGTGTTTCCGTTGTTTGCTACTATGGCTAATACTACTACATACAGATCACTGTGTATATAAAGCATTTGTTCTTTTGACTTCTGTCCTTGGAATAAATTCCCAGGAGTAGGACTACTAGATTAAAAAGAGGATAACTTGATTTTCCACATAGACGTAAGCTTTTTCCTACATTCCCCAAGACAGAAAAATAATATTATTATATCTTCCTTAATTATAATTATTTTCCTCCCATCTCAGAAGCAAAGACTTAATAAAGTAACTTAGATTAGATGAGAAGCTTCATTTTTGAAACTTTTCCTCTAACCCAAGGGGCACACTCAAAGGAGCCTGTGTCCTGGCCTTGGGAACACCACTGCCGTCTGCTCTGATAAGCTGGAAGTAAAAGCACATATGTACTGTGGGGGGTTAACCATTTCTGCCCCAGTTTCTTCTCAGGTAGAAGAAAGAAGAAAAAGCCAAACAAAAAACCACCGTCCTTCAGTGAGCAGGAAGCCCCAAACCATTGACCAAACCACCACACAGACAACTCCTCATTGCTGGCGCAGGGGAAAGGGGACACAGGAAGGTCCTGGAATCGTCTCTCTTTACTATGAACAGGATAGTTTCTGGCTGCTTCAGGACTCCTGCTAAAGTCTTTTATTACTTCCTAGTGTTCCGGTTCAGGGGCCTTACCAGAGCTAGCTATGCTTTGTGGAAGGGTAAGGGTGTATGTGTGTCAGGGGCAGAGGGGGAGAGGAAGAGAGAGGGAGAGAATATAGGAAGGGAGTATCTAGCTTGCTGGTCGCTAAGGGTCCTGCCCCTAGCATTTTTGCTAGACACATAATAAGGATCTATATTTAAGGCTATAGTAAAGCAAGGACTGTTTCCCTTTTTTGGACACACTGGAGGCTGAGTTTATTGAATCCTTCACACTCCGAAACAGCAACGGGCAACCGTGTAGTGGCCAAAGTCTTGTTTGCCCACAGAGCAGTAGCCCCCACCCTCCAAGCTGTTGCTGTCAGTAGGTGCAGCCCTGGCCTGTAGGCCTCCCAGGAAGTCAGTGATTCCTCCTCTCCCCTCCCTCATAGGCTTACCTAAGGATAGCCTAGTCCCATCCATTTGCTGCTGGCTAGAATTTCTGATAAGGGGTTGGGCAGGCCTGTATTATACCCACACTCTTCTCCGTCTGTCACCTGTTCCCTCTAAACACAGAACTTTGCTTCCCTTCCCTGCTTTGAACTTTGGACTTTCTGTTTTACTTCCTGATCACTGTTCCTTATTCCTTGCTAATCTGCTTTTCCTCTGCTGCCCGATGTCTTGCAGTCCTCCTCTTTGCTAGCAGCCCGGCAGGCTTCCACTGAAGTACCTACTGCTGCAGACCTTGTCAGTGCAATAGAAAAGTTGGTCAAAAACAAGCTGGTAAGTGGGGGTCCCGGAGGCAGTTCTGTGTGTGTCTCACCTCCACGCTGCTGCAGCCTTGCATCTGTCTGCCGTTTTCTCCTTTCACCTGTCCTCATTCCTCCTATGTGATTGCAGCTAATGATGGTTTCTAAAAAACTGTACCCCAGAGTCCTTTCTGACTTTGTTTGGGAATGGGCATAGGGAATTAATAGATCGTTTGGGGGCTGCAGCGTTTGATGAAAGTTGAAAACTGTCCAAGACAAACTTAACTCATTGCAAGTCTGATCCAGTGGCCCACAGGCAAGTGGCATTCAGTCAGCGATTGATATATATTTGGTTAGCCCAGAAGTTAGTGCACTGTGATGCTAGAACACACTGATTGGATCTTTGATAGCACTAGGAAATTTTATGAGGGACCTTGGGTAGCCTTCCAGCTTGCAAAGTCTCTCGAAAGTAGACTGCTGTTTATAAAGGGGAATGGGCAAAAGTGTGTGGATACCTCACCACAATAAATTAAGAGAGCCAGTGCCTAGCCCTACCATGGTGGGAAAAACTGAACATAAGCCGCTGGCAGCCTGTCTAGCCTGTGACTGTCTCATTGAGCCATCAGCCGATTGGAGGGATAGGTGATGAGCCTGAGCAGGTTTGGGGTTTTGGCATAATGCTGGTGAAAGGGCCCTTTTTTGGATAGCTCATTAGGATAGAGCTGTTCCTCCAGTCTCATGTTTTTACATTTAAGTGTGTCACCACAGAATGACACCTGGAAGCATTTTCCTTTCTTTCACTCTCATCCATATCACCCATTTAGCTTTTCCTGCAATTCTCATTAGGATAAATGTCTGTGCTTCTGCCAGACTTCTGTTGGGCAGTCTTATTAATCACTTGGCCCAGGAGCTAGAGGAAAATGATGGATGCTCTCTATGGAAAGCTACCTAATAATTTTGACTCTAGTAACTCACTTTTCAAATATCCCAGCATATCCTGTATAAATGAGGTTTAATACATATGATTTTATTTTTTTTCCTGCTAAATTTTCCTTTCTAATTCAGAAAAGAGAAAAACCCTGCTGTTTTTGGTACCCAGTGTCAAACTCTTGAAGGTTGTCCGTTTTCCTGCCATCTCTCCTTTTCCTACCAGCAGGAGTTAAGTGTCTTGTGGGCACTACGTTGACTTTCCAAAGACCCCTCCCTGGTATTTCTCACTTGCTCTCCCTTCCTCTCCACACCAACCCATATACCCTCTTCATTCTACAAATGCTATATTTAATTTTTTTCTTAAAGTCATCCTTTTTCTTTTTTGCATTTTTTCTTTTACCATCTGAGCCTGGGCTCTGACTTCATTCCTGGACTATTGCAGTAGCCATTGCCTGCCCTTTCCCCACCCAGTCTGCCTTCACCCCAAATTGGTCTTCTGTAAACACTGCTTATTACCTCCCTCTTGGCTGCATAAGCAGTGGTCTCCAATGTGGGGGTGCCCTCAGGTACATAAGACAACTTACTGGGGTATGGGAAGAAAATATTAGAGCCTCTTTATAGCATTTTAAAATGGTTTTATATGTGTTTTCTCATGTATATAATGATAGTACAGTAGCATAGATATAGAATTTATAGACAAGTTACATGTTTGGGGGTACGTGAACAAAATTATTTTCAATGACAGAGATATATAATCAAAGTTTGGGAATCACTGGCCTATACATAAAGTCCACACTTATCTAATATTCTGATATTTTTGTAGCCTGTTCTCCAACCTACCTTTCCAGCATCTAGTTATTTATTTGGTTGATGAACTCTGCTCCAAACAAATTATTTTCTCTGCTCTCCTCAAACTCATACTTGGCTTTCTTCCCTCCAAGTTTTTGTTCATATCGCCCCACTTCTCTGGAATGTTCTCCCTCTTATGTTTGCTGATCTAGAGCATAATGGTCATTCAGGGTCCTCCTCAAATCTCCTCTCTACAGAGGCTCCTCTGACCAGCCCAGGCCAAATTTCCATTGTAATCCCATGGGAATTATGAAAGCCACATACCGCCTGGGACAGCTGTTAAGTAGCTCTGTAGCATAATTTGTTCAAATATCTGAATGTTTTCATTTGCATTTTACCCCCCTAGCTAGATGGTAAGTCATTTAGGATATTATTATTATTATTATTGTTGCTCTATTAGTAAAAAAAAAAAGTCTTTTACACTTATTTTTATATTTTGGATTACCTTTTACTACTACTACTGCTAAGCTTTGCACTGCTGACAGTCTCTGGGCCACTAACACGTGTGATCTGTGCTGTTAAACATGGCTAGGTGTTAAACATGTAAGCAAAGACATAGAAAAGTCCCATCAAAGCAAATTTTCTAGAGAAGAGGGGATGTGGGATGGCACTGGTGTTGATTGGCTTTATTATAGGCTGTCAATAAATGTCTGTCGAATGAATGTCCTTTCTGTGGTGAGTTTGCCATAATGAAGGATTTAACTTCTTCCAGCAATAACTACTCTTGAGGACCTACAGTAAGCCCAGAATTAGAGCTATCTTTGGCTTAACATGTAAAACCAAGCTCACGTCACAGAAAGGAAAAAGGAAGCAGTGGTTTGGTTTCTTAGAATCTTCCTACCAAAAGTTGATTCTTGGTCCTTTCCACCACTTTCTCTTTCTTCCCTTCCCACATGGGGTAGCAATGTAACAGTACTAGGCTGAGAATATCTCAGCCATGCTTGAGAGCACTAAGTTGTATTTTCACCTTCAAGACTCTTAGTCCTATTCCTTATCAGTTCTTCAGCTTAGAAGAAGAAAAGATCCAGAGCCCATAAAAGCTCTGGAGTGTGTATTTGACTAAGTACAACTGTGTGATAGCTGCCAAGATAGCGAGTATTATCACAGGCTTGATTAACGAAAGTACAATGTACAGATCAAGAGAAGCAATAGTATTCAAAGGTATTCAGACCATACACGTCATGAGCTGTGTGTGAATAATGCATTCTATTCTTTCCTTTTTTTTTTTTTTTTTTTTTTTTGAGACAGAGTCTCACTCTGTCACCCAGGCTGGAGTAGTGCAGTGGCATGATCTCTGTTCTCTGCAACCTCCACCTCCCAGGTTCAAGTGATTCTCATGCCTCAGCCTTCTGAGTAGCTGGGATTACAGGCACGCTACCACACCTGGCTAATTTTTGTATTTTTAGTAGACACAGGGTTTCACCGTGTTGGCTAGGCTGGTCTCAAACTCCTACCCACGGTGATTCGCCCACCTCAGCCTCCCAAAGTGCTGGGATTACAAGCATGAGCCACCATGCCCAGCCAATGTATTCTATTATTCTATTCTAAATGCAACCTTCTACAATGTTCTTGAACAAACTGGAGGGGCCCAGAGGAGATAACCAGACCATGTGGTCCATGTAATTTGAAGGAAAGTTGAGGAAACCAAGGTTAAGTATGGGAAGAAGTTAGGAGAAGACACATAAGAGCTGTCTTCTAGTAATTGAAGCACTGCCATGGGAATGAGGTTGCAAAGAGTAACTAACTCTTTGCTACCCCAGAGGGCAGAACCTAGACCTGTGGGTGGGAGTTTTCTTCGTTTCATATGAGGAAGAACTAATAAAGTTCTTTCCACTTTACAGAATTCAATTCCATCTTACAGGAGCATCTGGTATTCTTGGATTTTACTTAGTCCTTAAAGTCTTTGTGCTTTGTTGGTTGCTCAAGCCATGGCGCCAAATTCTGCATCAGAATTCATTTGGCTTCCTAGCTCCACCCAAAGGCCATGAGATCCCCCATGTTCCTATCTCCCAGAGCTGCCCCCGGTGCTTTATGGTTGCATGGTCATTGTTATACCAAAGCTTCTGCCTCGGTGAGTTAGGATCACTGCTGCACAAGACCTACTGTTAAGGAACAAAGACAGGGTTTATCTGAAGTGCAGATAAAACTTCTGAAGACTCACTACCCGCCAATGAGTCCTTCTGGACGTTAATGGGCCCTTCTGTGGTCTTGCCACCAGCCTTGGTCTTTAATCGGTGCTCTTGTTTATCAAGAAAGGATGCTCACCCATCTCCCCAGATAGGGATAACATTCTTTTTCTGGGTTTTGCATTAAGGTATTATCTTTAAGCCAGGAATACAGCTCCCCCTGCTTTCACTGTGTGATTTTTAATAAACCCTTTTCTAGACCTGTGGACTGTTGCTGCTGGCAGTGAGTGTGTAAAGAATCAGAAGACCTAAGATTTAGTCCTGCCTCTGCTGCTTACTGTATAGTCCTGGGAAAATTACTTAGTCTACTTGGGGTTCTCTTTTACCTCACTTATTAGTGATGCTGATTCTGTCTATTCAAATCTAATCCCAAAAGAGTTATGATGATAATTGAGTAGGTATGAATGGGCTTTGTAAACTGATAATCAAGCATCTACAAAGGTTAATTCTTAGCCTCCTCAACTGCCTTGTGAAGGACAGGGAAAGGGAACTGTGTCATCCTTATCTCTTGTAGCTTGGTATGAAGCTGGGCACACGGAAACTTACTATTTGCCGGTGATAGATTGGTTGGGTGAATGTTACAGAGTAATAGCTTAACAGTCTATACAATTTGGTTTTATTCCCCAAGTTTGAGAAACAAGGCCTTGAGAATCTAGTGTATCTCTAAACTGAAGTCCTGGAGCCCCAGAATTCTACCATCTTCCTGGCATGAAAGATCGAGACTCTAGAAAGAAAGTCCCTAGGCCGGGTGTGGTGGCTCACACTTGTAATCCTAGCACTTTGGGAGGCTGAGGCAGGCAGATTGCCTGAGCTCAGGAATTCAAGACCAGCCTAGGCAACATGGTGAAACCCCATCTCTAGTAAAATACAAAAGAAATTAGCTGGGCAAGGTGGCATGCACCTGTAATCCCAGCTCCTCGGGAGGCTGAGGCATGAGAATCACTTGAACCCAGGAGGCAGAGGTTGCAGTGAGCCGGGATCGCGCCACTGCACTCCAGCCTGGGTGACAAAAGCAAGACTCCGTCTCTACAGAAAGGAAAGGAAAGGAAAGGGGAAGGGGAAGGGGAAA